CTGCTAATATTTTTTAACTACATTTTTCTTTCAGAATACTTTGATGAATAGAAAGTTAAAAAGAACAGCATTTATTTGAAATTTAAATATTTTGTAACATTAAACAAGTCTTTATAGACACTATCAATTTAATGCATTCTTGCTGAATAAAAGAAAAGACCCCAAACATTTGAACGGTAGTGTATGATGAGTTGTCGCTGATCACATGATTTGAATGCTTAGAGAGATCATGTCACAAACAGTATGGCCTTGCCACGCTATAGTAATTAATGAAAAGAAATAATGTCGAGAATATGTGAAGGTCTTTTCTCATCTGGTTGACTGGAGCAGATTAGGCATAAGTTAGAATCTCTAGAATGAAGGTGGGTGAGAGTGGTTATTGTCAAGCTGCAGCATCTGGGGTCTGAAACAAGGCCTGCTGACCCGTCAGTTATTGATGGTGCAAATCCCACAGTCAGAGCTCACTTCCTCCTCCTCAAAACCACAGGAGCTCTTCCAAGGGTGAGCCCCTCGCACATCAAAGCTGCTAATTCAACACAGGCTTCACAGATACGCACATGCAAGCGCATACACGCTCACGGCCATCCTTCACAATCGGCACCCGGTGTTGGAGGAAAACGAGAGAGCACCACAGATCCTCCTGACACAAATCCATTTTCCTCATCTTAATCCATTTGTTTTTCAAAACAAGAGCTTGTCGCCAGCTCCTGCTCCACCAGGCCCCATTGAGATTAAATCTCCCTTTACAATCAAGCAGTGCAAGGCCCTAAAGAAAAGGTGCCCCAGATGAACACCAGCACCCAGTTACGACCATCTCAGCACTCCGGGGGGAGAGGCAAAGAAAGCCACCATCTGTGATTTAGTCATGCTCATGCCAGGGCCAATGACGGAGCAGCAGTGAGTGAGAAGGAACGTGAATGAGGCTCTATTCAACACCGGCAGAACACACAACCCCAAGATGGGTGGAGGAAAGAGCATAAGGGGGCACTTGTACCCAAGGATGAAGGTGTGATAAAGATGATGAAAGGGAGAAGTCCACGATAATCCGCTGGGAAAATTCTGTCATGAAAGATCATGGATGAGACAAACAGCTGTCAGGGAACATGTGGATGGATGTGCTACGTCAGAGCTTGACAAAGGCTTAATGAGCTCTTGCACAATAGCCTCTGTGATCTCCGACAGAGACAAGCGTTAATTAGGGGTGCATCAGTCGTCTGAATTATAAACTCGCTCAGTCACTGATTCTCATTACAAAAGAAATGGAGAAACAACTAGTAAACCTGTGTGAAAGGAATCTGGTCGCAAGAGCATTATAAAATATATTTAAATAGAAAACAGTTATTTTAAATGAATAAAACAATATTACTGTTTTTACTGTATTTTGAAATAAATTCAGCCTATTTGAGAATGAGAGACTTTCAAAATGTCAAAACACTAAAAAAAATATTATCGACCCAGGCCAAAACTTTTGAACAGTACTGCAAACATGAAGAACAAGTACACAAATTGGCATGTGATTTAGGAGAAATGGAAATGGCTGCAGATTTACCAAAAGGATCATATGTTCCCTCCCAGAGTCAATTATTACACAATTAAAAAGTGTGAGTGAGTGATGGTCAGTTCTCTATAACAGATGAAGTTTGAGCAATTAGTAATGAGCTTGTCTTTCTCCAGATGCCCACATTGCTGACTTTGCCCACCAAACATAATCAATTCATAAACTAAATTAAGTCCCACTCTCATCTTCTGCTGCGGCAAACGCTTGGACCAAACGCCCACAGATCAATTCTCCATCTCCACTCACTCTCCAGGCACCACCAAATTGATAATGAAGACATATGAAAAAAGACAAGCAACAAAACACCAACTCTGCGTGGAGTCAGCAGGCTCGGTCCTCTGGATGTGTTTGTGTGTGAGGGGTGAGGGGGGACGTCCTGAAGGACTCTGTCTCTCTCGGCTCTTGGAGGCGGTGGGATTTCAGGGCTCGTTTCACAGCCACACTGCCAGGAAATCAAGCGTGCTTCACACAGACAAAGAGCACTGAGAGAGCCCAAGCGAATAAGGCCTCTTCCTGCCGAGCCCTTCTCTCATCTAGGGCAGAGATATGGAGCGCGACTGTGAAATGTAACCAAGGAACAATGTGCAAGGAGCCGTTTTGTCAGCATGCCAAGAAGAATCTTCATTGTCGGCCCCCGGAACGGATCCTGAGAAGAAAAGGAGCTGGCCAACACCTTTTACTTCATACTGGATCATTGCCTTTGTAATATCCACTGTGTTCAACACACAAAGCTTGTGCTCTGAGTGTGACAATAATGATCAAATTCAATCTTTCAGTGGTTTTCAGTCTTAAGGCAAAAAAACATTAAAATATTTGACAAAACAAGATTCTTGACTAGATTCTTTGCCAATTTTATAAAATAAAATACTTTTGTTCAAGGTATATCACTGTTCATTAAATGAATGAAAATCCGACTTCTGAACAAATACTCAACAGGTGAGATTGTTATGGTCTTTGTGACAAAGATCAGGTGTACTAGAATGTCAACGTGCAAAGTCATTTAAAACAAACAGCCATACGGCCACCTTATAAAGTAGGCTTTCTCCCACGTAAAAGACATTGTATCCTCTTACAGACGGATTTGCGTTCTATTTACCGAACTATCCACCTGCTTTTTTTAGACACAGCCCGGCATGAGGCTCACAAGGGCTGAAAAAAAACAGGTGAGGTACAAGAAAACGTCAATGCAACACCACATCAAGGATCGTCTTTGAGCGAGTTGCTGGAAAATCTGCTTTGATGACATTCCCATCAACATGTTTTGAATGGCTCACGCAAATGAGATAGTTTGACAGAAATCCAAAGATGCCAACTGGATGCAAAAAAAACAAAAGCTCAATTCATCATTTTTTTTGCACTAGTTGTACCTGAATTGAACCTGAATTGAATTGAACATAAAATTGCAAAGTTCTTAAATTACAACGCCAAAATATGTTCAACCTACTTATTTACTTTTACGGCAATGCAAAGACAAGAGACTGACTCTTTTACCATGTTCAACAGCCACTTCAACACTAATAAGCATTAGGACAATTCAGCTTAAGGCAAAGATAATAATAGAAGACTGGCGCAATGTGACGGATGACTTAAAAAACGTCTCAATCACTAGATTAAAGCAACCGATTGGATTATTCACAGTCCCATTCACGCGCGGCTGCAAAGTTACCAGGATACTGAAGTGGGACTGAGAGCTTTTGTGTTGAATGACCTTGGACACCTACGTTGAATGCAATTAGGATGCGAGGAGGAATCGTGAAACTGGTCAATGACTTGATTCTGACACAGTCTCACACCCTCTGAATGTAAATCCTTTGACACTGCATTGACACACGCTGCCTGAATCTGTGATCACCAAACTAGACACAGTACACAAATGCAGGAAGCTCAGTTTGCAATAGTGCTGCAAAAAAATCAAAAATGACCAAAAAAAAAAAAGACATCCAAGTTACCAATTAGAGACCGATAACCGGTTAGGCAGATATTATTATAGATATTTTACATTCACACTTTTCAATTGAATTGATACTGACACTCATATACTGATAAATAGCATCATTGGTCACTGAAAAATAGAACCCAAAAACGGTATTAAAAAGTAAAGTATCTTATTTAAAATTCTTGTTTGAATAATAGCCTAAACTTTTTAAATAGCCATTCATTCTCAAGCAAAAAATCTGTTCAGATCACAATAAAAACAAATCTGCATAAAATTATCTTTATGATTAACAACAACAGCAGCATGATTATTATTAGTAATTATAATCGTTGTTGTTATAATGAAAACCTTAACATATTGTTTAATTGCTGATTTGGTCATTTTGAGTCAAATAAAACACAAATAATACAATTAAAAGTAGTTTCTGCATAATAATCTGTCATAAGGCAATATCAGTCCATCTCTAGTATGAAATTCCTATTTGATCACGCCAGTTATAACTTTTCTGGGAAGCAGCACGCGGTGATCAGCAGATCAAACCCCTCATGCCATAACAAAGCCAGTGGCCAGCACGTTTCACACATGTGGGGGTCGAGAAGGACTGATGCCTGTGACAAATACACACGATCTGTACTGTTTCCAAATGTAAATTAAAGGAGGTGATGATAAAAATGGGGGTGACTCAACTACTCCATTAAGGTTTCTGGGTTATATTCATATTGGTAACGTTAGATCAACGCGAGACTAATTTTACAGCATCATTGTTAAGAAATTGAATCAATAACAAACAAAACAGACAGACAGTAGGAAACAATGGCCAAGTCGAAGGCAGCCTGTGATCCAACAATAAACTTGTAACCCAACAATCATGAACTTGGCTTGAGTTTATAATGACTAACGTTAAGATGAAACAAAACAAGCCCAGGTGATCGAGATAATCAAGTCACTGGAAAGTTTATGCGTAACGTTAAATCTATTCGACGCCACTTAAATGTGAGAATGAAAACCGGTCTTACGAGAATGAACAAGAGACTTTAAACTTAAAACAACGCACGACTTAACGCTAAAATTCAGCGCGGATATTAACAGAAATATCGCAGCGTTTATATTAGCAATTGGTTTAACTTAAACAAGGCAGAACAAAGTCTAACCTTACTATATAACCCAACTCACAAACCAATAACGCGGTTTATAAACAAAGACAAAACACTAACGTTACTAACCACTGAAAAAACAAGAATTTTAAAGCTTGTATGGGAGAAATCAGTCAACGCGTCCAGTCAGTGACGGTTTAATTCTGTTATTATATAAACCAAACTAAATAACTGACTTTATTCTACCAACGTCACTATCAGAGACTTGCGTTGACGTCCTATTAGCAGTAACTAACTTATAACGTGAATGGTTAAAGTGAGCGTTTGCTAGGCAAACAAAGTCAGACTGCTGGGAACATGGTCAACTTGAGTTGGTTTTGTTTAGTGAATTCATACAGGTATGGTCATTTACCTCGATTTCAAAGTCTGGTAAACTGAACGCCGTCCTGAAGAGAGAGCAGAAGTGCGCTATGGCGGGGACTTCCCACCAAGACTGGATCTCCTCCACAGAAGTTATACATCCCTGGGACATCTTTCTGTTATCCTACGAGTGTCTCACATTAAAAAGAGTGGCTTAGACGAATCCGCCCAAGGTGTTCCTCACATAGAACTTGTTTAACTGAACAGTAAAACTTGTTGTCCTTGCGGTGCAGCAGCCATTGCGACTCGTAGAGTTGTACAATCTGTTTCAATCCGCATTTCACAGGAGAAGAACAGATGGGCTGGGCGCTACCACTTGTCACGGGGAGGGGGGTTTACGCGCACCAAAACAAATAAAATATCAACACAAATCAAACTAAACCCTCGTTAATTTTTTTCAATCACCACTGTTGGCATTATTAGATTAGTTTATTAACTATTTGACTTGATCTAGTCACTGTGAGAGAAAACTATCGCAGTTAGTCAGTTTATGCGGCAGGTGTCTTACCTCCGCTCGAAGTGGTATGTTCATTTAAAGGGAATGCACACACATTTGAATTTCGTTGAAAGGGAAGTTGCCCTGTCTGTTGTTATTACAGTAGAATCCTCGCGTTTGATCTAGAAGAGATGAGTACGACAGAAAGGATATTGATAATAATACATTACATGACATTTTTGTATTTAATTAGTTTTTTATATATAAATTATTTGTTTGATTTTAACTTCTTAATTGTTGTCGTGTACGAACGCATCATATGATAAAGCCATGAAGTCCATGTTATTAGCTCTATAGTGGCTGTTTTTTGTAACCTACAAAAGTTGACTGACCCTAATTTGTAATGCGCAAAATCTGTTTCTAAATAGTGTTGTTGTTAGTTATTATAGGCCTATACAAAAATAAAAGCCATAAGTCCTAAGAATTAATGACACATTTTAATTCTAATAGCAGGATGGCGCGTTTGAAGACTACCTTTTTTATTATTAATTTAAATAGTGTGAATAAAAAATTGGTCTTCAAAATATGGACCCAGCGCCCCCTGTTGAGACGAAGAGATAAAGCACACTGCTATCTATCTATCTATCTATCTATCTATCTATCTATCTATCTATCTATCTATCTATCTATCTATCTATCTATCTATCTATCTATCTATCTATCTATCTATCTATCTATCTATCTATCTATCTTAAATGTCTAAATATCCGTTTTTTTATTGTTTTATTTGTTGTGTTGAATTAAGATAGGTTGTTCTCAAATACGTAATAAAAAAAAATTCACATACATAGTAGCCTACCATAATAACATGTTATGTGAATTATGGCATCTTGGTTGATTACAGCAAGACAAATCATATTATGATCATTAATATCATTAATTGGGAAGCCGTAAAGGGCTGTGCAAGTGTCCAGTGAGTTTAGCAAATAATTGAAGAAATATAGCCTATATTAATAATTGTAAATTGCTAATACATTTTAAAGCATTTTTTTTAAAATATATGTTTAATATAGCCTAATAATGTTAATATAAAAAAATAAATATAGTTGTTGTAATAGTTGTAAAATGCATATTTGTGTAAGTGTGAATGTGTCAAGTTTCATCACTGGAAAGCTGCGTATTCCCTTTTTATGTCACTGGGAGTCGCCAAAGGGGGAGGGACTTAGGCACGGAGAGACAATGCTTGTGTTTGTGCAAAGGCCCCTGAGTGGCGGCTCTGTCGGATCTCTTGCGCCTGACAACGGCTGATACACACATTGTCAGCGAGCTGAGTGGGAAGTGGACGACTTGATCTGACCGGTCAATGCACAGAGGTAAGAACATAATAATCATCCTCTCAAACAGAGTTTCTAACTTGTGAATTGGTCAAATACAGGCTTGTGTGAGGGGGTTGTGTAAAGTCTTAGTGAGGGAACGCTTTAGGATGGGGAGAGGGGGGCCAGATCGCACTTGTCTGTGTTTTGGCAGTGAAGGGGCATGAATAGAGCTATGTTGAAAGAAAGCAGTGCTGAAGGGAAAGGCATGCTCAGAATGCCACTGGGCTCCAGAAAAGACAGAGCGAGAGAGGGACAGAGAAAAGGGTGGATGTGAGTATGCCGGAGGAAAAGAGAAAAGAGAATGAGGTAAGAGTTAGTGGAAACATGAGGAAAGAGAAAGGTTACTCAAGGGGAAGTTTAAGACAAGTGATGGGAAAGGAGAAAGCAAGAAAAAGAGTGACACAATAAAAATAGTAGCTATAGAAATCTAATGTTAAGAAAAAACAACCTTTGATTTTAATAATGTATTAGTTGAATTAGTTGAGTGAAAGTTTGAAACTAATATTAAAGATTAATAAATGCTGTAGGAGTATTGTTCGTTCTTAGTTCATGTTAACTAAGGTAGTTAACTAACGTTAACTAATGAACCTTATTGTTACCAAGATTTCAAGTGTTTTCAGCAGGGTTCATCTGATACTTTATATTTTAAACCCCAAATTAAAACCAAAAATATCTTCTATAATTATTATGGGTGCAGTTTTATGGCCTCTTATGAATTGTGAGAATATTTAAATGTTTAAAAAAAGTAAACTCAAACTGCAGGACCATTTAAAATGTGATAGCAAAATTAGAAAAAGCAACAAAAAAGTGATGAAAACCGTTTTTACAGGAATATGTAGACTCTCCCTTCTACATAAAAAGGTCATGGACATTTTATGTGTTAACTACCCAAATAAAGTTTACACTACTTTCATTTACTCTAGACAACTAAAAACACACCTACACTGATATACTGATGTAAAATTTGGATTATTTTAGTATTAGAGAGCATAGAAGTATTGTTTGAGCTACTGTAGACTTCTATATTTAGATTTTTCCACAGACAATGTTTTTGATACGGTGTTGAAGAACAGTAAAATCATGCTGATAAGCTCATCGTCTGCTAGCTCTCTTCTCTAGGTTAATTCAGAGGTCAGAACCTCATTAGCAGCAAGATTAGAGAGACTTTAGGAGGGGGGATGTTCCCTATTTGTGCGCTGTAGAAAAGCACAATTCAGAAAGTATTGTTCTGAAATTCTGAAACCAGTTGAAAGTCTTTTTTTATTAAAAAAAATATAGCATGTTGTTATTCTGTAAAGTCATTATGCAACCACAATTATCCTGAATTGTATTTCTCTTGTGTCTTGGTCAATAGCCAGTTCCAAGGTGATTTATTTTTAGAAAAGAGTGGCTGTTCTCCCCAAAAGGAAGGGTGTGAAGATCGGCACACCATTCTAGGAGGCTGGCCCGGGTGGGCCGTGGAAGGTTTGTGCTGACACTTTTGCCGCAGTGAGAGAAGAATTGGAGGAAACAGTTAAAGCGTGGCCACAATGGCCGAGAAAGTGAGGTACATTTGCGAGCGACTTCCTCTGATAGTGGATGTACAGTTTAAGATCCATCTAAACCGTTATATTGACATGTTTTTGTGTGTGCGTGTTTGTTTCCTGGTGTTTACAGCCTCCCTGCTAAGCTGATTAATGGGGGCGTGGCTGGACTGGTGGGCGTGACCTGCGTGTTTCCCATTGATCTCGCCAAGACCCGCCTACAAAATCAGCAGGGTGCTCGTGTTTATAGTGGAATGTGAGTTCAACATCTTTATGAAGTCCCATAACTATGCGTTGTATGGCTTGCACTTTGTTTGGGGTCTTGTTCTGGTAGAAGGTAGAGAGTTTCTCAAGCAATAAAATGACCAACTGTGCAACTTGCATATGATGATGAATAATTGGTTTTGGAGTAACAGTCATTATAATAGCATATGTGAGAGGTGCAAAATGGCAGCTGGTTTGCTGTCTTAAACCTTTTTAAGCCTATAAACCCTACACTCTTAGAAAAAGGTTCAATTGGCTTCTAGAGAACCCTAAGGTGCTTGACTCAATTTTAAGGAGAATGATTAAATGATTGCATAATACTTTTATTTTCATGTTTAACAGGGTAGTCATTTTTTTTACCTGGTGAAAAATAAGTTTATGTTTATTGATTAAAACTAAATCCATAAAATGATCCCATGAAGGGAATCCATGATGGTTCTACAGTAGCTATATGAAGCACATGACAGAACCTTTTAAGGTTCCATAGAGCATTTTCATCTAAGAGTGTAACATAAGGCCTCTAAATTATCACCATCATCAAAACTTTGCTGAAAAACAATACTTTATACATGTTTAGCCTTTTTAAATAGTTATGAAAACATCCTCCTTTATTGTGGTACATGGCTTTTTGCTGTGAAATCTTCACTGTTATTTAAAAAGGCGAAGGCAGCATGTGTTAGTGATTTACTCTGGGCGGAGGACTTTGTCTGGATTTTGAATGACTCAGATACAACTTGAGTCACATGCTTTTGCTTCTTTGATCTCTACACGCTCCCAAAGGTTTTTCATTCCTTTTTAAGTAGCTTGCTCAAAAATATCTTTATGCATGTGTGATACCATTGAGATAAAGAGAAGGACTCTTTGTAGTGATGGTGTGTGTGAGGAGCTCTTTTCTTCTTTGTACACTTATGTAACAAGCGAATACCCAAGTGGTTTGTGGGCAAGAGACAGGCTGCCATGTTTTAAGCTCTTTCTTCCACACATTACTCACTCCTCCAAGAATTTTTTGTGAATGTCTAATTTGGCTGTTTGTTATACACAGACATGGAGAGCAATAAAAAAGGTTTATTACTGTTGTTTAAGAGATTTTCCACCATTTATTCTCGTTACTTTATTCTACTTTCCAAACAAGAATATTTAGGGGCATTTTCATGAAATGTGATTTCATTATATTTAGATTTGCTTATTTCAGAACCAGATTGTAATATTTGATTAATCATATTAAACATTTCTGTCTTGTTATGAAGGCTGGACTGTTTGGCAAAAACGATCAAAATGGAGGGCTACTTTGGCATGTATCGAGGTACAGTGTTTCTATTTTATTTAGTGCTTTTGGTGTGTACAGTCAACGTTAAAATCAAATTAAAAACCACCTTAATGAATGTTCATGGTGTTATTGAAAACAGTGTTATTTAAAACATTATTAGTTTCAATTGTTATAATGCTGTGGGATATGTTGCTTTTTGTATATATTCTCAGAATTACATTTCATGGTGTTTCTCTCAGGTGCAGCTGTGAATCTTACACTGGTCACTCCAGAGAAAGCCATCAAACTGGCTGCCAATGATGTCTTTCGACAGAAGCTCTCCAAAGATGGGTAACGGCCACTTGTTAACCATTTACAAAAGCAAAGCTACTTATACTTATTTTAATATACCCCAAATTTATTGCTA